CATTCTTCTGTAAGTGTAGCATGATTGTAGTATTTTTATGGTAGACAAATAGGTGTTATTTTTAAAATGGATAAATAACTTAATAATATCTTTTACATTAACAGATATCAATTAGTAATTACTTTGAAATGGCAATGTGGAAATAGTCATATATTGTTGTTATAAATTTTTCATAGTATATATCTTTATTTTTTAGCTACCAATTCGACACTGGTTGATCTAGACCTTTACCTTTTTCATGTCATGTCATGTCATGTATGAGTCGAGTTTGATAAGGTTACTTTTTTTCCCCTTCTCCACAAATCTCCTTCAAAACCTTTACCTCCTACTTGAACATTGGGATGGAGAGATTCTCAAATTCCTCGTAGCTAAAGGCTAAGCGTCTATGCCATGTGTCAATCAGCTAATAAACCAATTCAGGCCAACACTACACGCCACTATCTTATCTGGCCTAACTAAGGTCATTAAAAACAGGTAGTTGAAGTGATACCATCATCTCAATCGAGGTGTCATGCAAAGATCGACCATTCATGGTCGAGACGAGGTGCCACGATCTATTATAGCTCATTTCAGAAGCGACTAGCCTTTAAACCTATAAATGTATCTTTTTTGCTTTGCCTTTTACAAGAGATCTTTCATACAAGATCTTATGCAATTGATTGATATGATCTCTCTATAGACGCTTCTTAATCTACTTTTTAGATATTAGACTTAAGGTGACCAACTTTCAGAATCGTTAAATGTCCTATGAACATAGGACTGTAGATGTAACACCTAGGAGATTGCTAATCGGCCATTAAGATGGAGCCACGTGTCTTTTATCAAACGGTAACCATTTTAGCTCTTATATTATAAAAGCTCACACGTAGCGTCTGTTTGACTGCGTATAAAACAAAACAATTTATTTTTCATATTCATTTACAACGAAACACTCACATAATAAATTATTTTACACGTAAATCTAAAAAAATTTCTCCCTTTTTAACTATACATCCTCCAAAAAATCACTATACAAAACATCATTTTTTACACAATAATGGCTATCAAACAGGGGCTTACTAACATTTGAAGGTAACACAATTTTACACTTTTAATACTATTGTTCGCTCTTATTATTTTTTTCTCTACAACTTGATGCCCGTACATATACTTATGGCTCAAAGTTTTTCATTCATCCGACACTCAAATATATACAAATTGAGTTGCTCGATCATCGGAATGCTCGCAGTTGCTTCCCTCACCACCCGAAAAGGTCACGTACTTCTAATGATTTGTCCAAGTGTACATGAATCTTGATTACGCCCAAAGAATAACGCGATAGTTGTAGCACAACTTTGG